CTATTGAACCCGCATAAGAAGCGCGTGCCACTTAATTGGCTTGCCTGACTGTCAACTATTTAACTATGATTTGTTAAATGTGAATTTGTAACCATTTTCCCGACCACTTTATAGACTTACCTGCGGTCGGCCATAGGGATCGTAGCACTCCAGCGCCGGCATAAATGTGGTGCCGCGCAGCTCGTGTCCGCCGGCGGAGTTGATGGGCTGGCGTTGTACGCCAAATGCAGCCGTCGCGCAGCTGCAGAGCAGCGCTCCGGCTAGCAGCAGACGCGCCGCGGAGGAGCCTTCGCTGAGACTCCGCCTGTTGCGCCTCATCGTTGGCCTTGGTTGTCGACTGGTATCCGTGCTTTATAGACTAATTATTACACTAGGATTAAGGTTTTTTGAACACCTATTCGAGTAGTTCCAGTATTTTGGGTGGGTTTTTTTTCGATGGGTATTTGTTGTTTTTTGTTCACTGTCACAGTTTAAAGCATAATTGCACTTGAGTTAAAAGGCATCAGTGGCTCAACGAGATGGTGGCTAGTTCTGGAGCGGCTTCACTCGCTGCAATATGCACAAGATATTCGATTAGCTAATGCCTTAAGATATACATACTATGTGTATATATAATACGAATTTTCGGCTAAAATTCGGCTAAAAAAACCATCTGTTGCACATATTGTCTGAGCTATACAAAAAAGCTTTCGAGTTATTTTGCTGCTGCTTGGTTTTAATTAGTTCGTTCGCCGGTCCAAAAAACAAACTTTGCTGTCCGGGTCAGTCAATAAGTTGCCCGATCTGTGTGTGTTTTAGTTCATTGAAGCCTTCCCCAGCAACCGCATGGGCCCAGGTTCTTTCAGTACTTTTGTGTAAACAAAACACAACAAAAGCAAAAAAGCTAAAAACTGCAAATGAAAATTTCAAATAACAACAAAAGCAGCCAGCAAAGACATAAATAAACACAAGTACAAGCACACACACACACACACATATATATAAAATTGTATTACGCGCTGGAAGTGAACTCAGGCATTGCCCACAAAATTTGTATTTCCGACTATGTGTTTGCAGTACGTCCCTCCAACCCAGTCGTAGCACCAACAATACCCCCCAACTTGGTCTAGCCTCTGTATATGAAACTTGAAATAATTCCAAACGATGATTTCATCTACATTTACTCCGCCCATGCACACCACATGTATATGTATCTAGATACATATCGCATCTATCTGGATAAAGAAAACTTTGCAATTACTTAAGGCAACAAAAAATATGCAGGCTATTTATTAGAGAACTTGTTAAAGGAATATTTGGATGCACTCGTCTTATTCTTAGCCAAGGTTAGATTCATTTAAACAGCGCATCTCTCAGATACTTAAGCTTGTGCCCAAGTATCTTTTTGTGTACCGCTAATTAGCAAATATGCACAGCAAATTGAGTCTATTTATTTAGTGGAGATTTCAGATGATATCATTTAATATTTATAGTAAGACTCTTTTTGGAAATAGCTAGGTTAGGACCGTAAGATTGTTGTATAAAGCAAACTTGGCTGAATACTGGCAGCTGGCTGATTGGATGGAGTATAAGAGAAAGATTTAAAACTTGGAAACATATTTACAAGAAATTACCAGTTATAATGAGTAAGAAGCGGAATGAGGCAGCATGAGCATATGGACAAGAGTAAGATTATTTTTCTTAATAAATGTGAAGAGTTTAAAAAATAAAAGTTTCATATATGTATTATATACAATGAAGTATTCAAGGAATTATAGAATTGTAGGCGCCCTCAAGCTGATTGGTTTTGCTCAAAACTAATTTATTGAATTCTTGATTAATTTCGACAATAATAATATATGTGAAGTTATATACAGAATCCTCATTGATTCAGCTTCTAAATAAGAAGATAATATATATAGAATTATATAAATCTATTTTCAAGCATTTCGCGAATCTTGAATCAATTCCAGGAAGACTTTCATGCCTAACTCAATGAACATTATAAAAGAAATTTATACAATTATATAAATCTGTTTTTAATCATTCCGCGAATCTATCTGTGGTTCAGCTTGTAGTCCATATCGCCTATGAGCCAGAGTAAGGTCATAATTATTCATTGAAAATGAAGAATACATTAAGAATAATAACTTTTATACATCTGCTCTCAATCATTTTGCTAATCTTTGTGCTTGTATTTCATTGATATACTTTTTACTCAGCACACCATTTCGTAACACTGTCTTCTAGATTTGAACACAACTGTTGATTGTTTGCACAAAATTTTTCAATTTATTTTTATCAGTTTTTAATAATAGCTTAGAGAGTGTGCACCCCTCGGGAAGAACACTGTCGAACTCTTTGTAGTCGCCATATAGATTTATGTTGTGGCTTATCAGTATCGTCTCACATTTTTTTTTTTTGAAAAAAACACAAAAACTGTTTCATTTCAAAACCGAATTAAGCACAAGAAAATCTTGAAGACTGTCGCCGGGGCAACATTTGATACACTTGCCAGGCCAAGTGAGTGTGCAAGTGTCTGTGTGAGTGTGTGTGTGTGTGTGTGTGTGGTCGGGTGTGTGGAACCCTTTGGGAATGAGTTCAGCTGAGGCCAAGACTCAAATACAAGCACTGTTTATGTTGTTGCTTTAATACAGAGATATTCTATATACTTATATATATAGCACGAATGAACATCCGCTCCATTCAGATTTCAATTGTTGAGCTGCTGCTGCTGCGGCTGCGGCTGGAAGAGCTGCTGCCTGTTGCGATATGCGTATATGAACACGAGTTCCTTTTGCGATAAGAATTTGGGGCTACGAACTAGTGCGATATGGTGGCATGAACTGAATGGAAATTGAGATTCAGATTGAGACTGAGACTGAGGCACAGAGCACAAATACAACACGCTCGGCGAGCGGATCGTAGTTTGTGGTTGTTTTGAAACGGCGCTTTTTGTTTGCACCTTTTGGTATTTATCTTTATTGAAGCGTTTGTTTTTATCAACTGCTTCACGACACACACGCTCACGCACACTCGCACACACGCACGCCAGTTCAGGTAGAGGAAAAGCAACACGAATTCACTCAAAAGAAACTGCACTCTTGGGTCTACGCGCTCAGATACTTTTACGAAACTTGGTTTTTGTTGTTGTTGTTGTATATATCGTTTTTTTTGGTTGTATCTCAGCGATGCACAGGGCAAGCAGAGCAACAACAAATACTGCGTTATTTTCGTTTATTTATGGCTAGATACTTTATTTTTGTGTCTGCCTTCTAACACATGCTGCATTTGGTTGATATTTTTTTTGGGGGGTTTTCCAAAAAGATTGTGGTTTCGTTTATAAATAGTTTGCATGTTGCATGGAAAATCTCATGCAGTTGCATTCACATGTGCTTAATTGCATTTGTCATCGCATTTGCTTTCATTTCGAGTTTATTTTGTGTACTTGGCACACAACTTCTCGCTTTTCTGCTGACTTGGTAATTGTACGAATTTTGTAGTTGCTTTGTTTCATTATTAAGTACATTTTATCGGGGTTTCTTTTCATTTAAGTTTTTTTTTTTGTTTGACTTGTTGTAATTGTATCACGACACTGAAGGCAAGAACCTTTTGAGTAAACAGTTCGTCATACGCCGTCTGCCACACACACACACACACACACACAGACACATTCACATGCACCAACACACGACAAGATACTTTTTTATCTTGAGGTTTTCTTTTTATTGCTGGCTGCGCCTGCCGCCACGGCCAAAGCAAACAAAAAAAAAACCTACGAAACACAGCGCGAGACAGCCGAAAAAATGTATGAAAAAAAAACGGAAGAGTTCCAGAAGAAAAGTTAAGACTCCTCCGCACACAGCACACACAACACTCTACACACAACAGCAGCGAACAGTTCAGCAGCAACGTTGTCGCACTTACTCCGCGTAGAACACCACAGGCAACCGCTAACGAGGACGTCCAATGCTCAACTGACTCTTGAGGAATGCGGCGCAACCGCTCAGCGGCTCTCGTTGAGTGAAACTCTATGCTTTGCTCTGCTCTGCTCTGCTCTGCTCGTATCTGTATCTGTGCCTGTATCTGTATCTGTGAGTAGCTGTAGCGATCGTTGTTGCTGCTGCGGCGCATGGGCACTCGCCGAGCTTCTTGGCTGGCTGGGCTCAGCTTAGCCGGGCAACTATGTAGTTGAAATTGGAGAGCGAACGTTTCACAGATTCATGAATTGATGTTTAATTGTAATGTTCCTCCTCTTTCGTCGGGTCTTAAGTTTCAAGCATAATTCCAGAAATGAACAATTTTGTTGGTCTTGGCAAATATTTGATAACTAGATATGAGGCAATGTTAAACATATATGACATGAGATCTGCATGTGACTGACTACTAGACTGAATGCCCGGCATTATCGGAGGCTGTGCTCTCCGCTCTACTTTTGGACTTATGTAGTTGCTTACAGAGCTAGCAGGTTATCGCTGCCCAACTGATAAGAGTTCGTTCTAAAAAAAAAGCAAAAGCACTTTCTGTTTCATTGACTAAATGAATTTCTAAAAATGTATGGCCATAAAAGAAGTGAAATTTATTGTATGAGCAGTTATTGAATTGAAATTTATGTTAACTAAATATAGACATAATCTGAAACCTATCAAGTATGTGTCTGTCATCATTCTATATTCGTTAATTAACAGTTCAATTTGAATTTAATTTAAATAATTTTATATTTAAATTTTAAATTAAAAGAATTTAAGCTAACGGTTGAATCTATCTTAACCTTTGGTTTGTGTCTGAAATTAAGCTCTTGTCCAGCTCTCTATGAAACTGACTGCTATGTTATCGCATAGCCTAATCAGAAGCTGAATGCTATGCAACTCGTGGCGCCTGTTATTTAAATATCGAAATTTTTAAATTTTGTTTTATTTTATTCTCAGATCGTTGCGTAAACTTGGCCCATGCCAAGATCTAATGAGAGATAATACTTTATATTTTTTTCTGGATCGATATATTAATTGTTATTCATTGAATTCAAGGAAAGCAAACTATTTTATTCAATGTTATTCGGGTAGACAGCTAGAGATTGGCTAACAAGTTGTTGATAACAAGTTTAAGCTAAATTGTGAGTAGACTAAACAAATTTTCTTTAGTTAAGAAGACAATCTGGCGTTTGGGGCATACTGAATAGTTCTGGAATTACTACTGCTGCTCATCTTCATCCTCAATATTGATCTTTATGATATTGACAGCGGGACCTCGTGAATCGCTGCGCTCAGGTAATCCATTTACGGCGACTGCTGGGGCAGCTGCTGCAGTGTCCTTCTCCACGATGCACTCATCGCTGCCCGTGGTGCTGATGGTAATCGTGGGTATATTATCTGACCAAATGGAACTTTGGGAGTCCTCTCTCATGGCGCGTCGCCGCTGGGAAGCACTGCGTTTGGGGAATGTTATAGGGCCTGGCATATCCAATTCCTCCAAGTCATCCATGGTGGCCAAGGTGGGCGTAGAGCTCGAGGCGGCGGCTGCAGCAGCTGCAACAGGTGGTGTTGGTGGCTTGACTGCTGGCCGATGTGATGCGGAGGATGTGCTGCTGCCAAAGTGCAGCGGAGCGCTGGGCGTAGGCGAATCCGGCTCCGGTGTGGGTGGCATCTCCAGTGCTGTGGCGCTCGAATTGCTCGACAATAGCGACGGTGGTGGCGGTGGTGTATATGCCAAATACGTTGGGGTGGTCGGACCCGGTGACTCATCTGAACCTTGCTCGACATCTTCCTTCTTTATGTTGACAGCCTCACGTACCAGGGCCAACAGGGAACCAATCTTTTTGCGTCCCTGACGCGACAGCGCCGCCAACTTCTCGGCATTCACCTGACGCTGAGTATGTGTTTGGCTGGGCGTGGGCGAAGGCAGCGGCTGCGACTCACTGCCGCTGGCCAGTTCGGTGTTTAGGTGATCGGAGCTGGGCACTTGTGGTATTTCGCCCGACTTGTTCTTCTCCAGACTCTTGTCATCGAACTTGAATACCTCCGGCTCCGGCTTGGCAGCCACAATATTTGCCTTTGACCTGTATTTGCGGAACTTGAACTTGCCCAGGCCTTTGCCGTCCAGATGACCGCTCTCTTTGGGCAGTGGCGGCAATTCCTTGGGTGGTTTTTCCTGCTCTTCTTCTTCAGGTTCGGGTGGCTTCTTCTCGTCCACGATGTGAAACTGACTCTCGGGTGTTCGTCGATCCGCAGTCTTAACTGTAGACGGCTGTGGTTCCGGTTCCGGTTCCGGCGTTGCTGGCATGGATTGCTCCTCCTTGTCCCGTTTGCGGCGCAGTAAACTGGCGCGTCGTTCGCTGACAATTCGAGAGTTCGTCTCCGGATCATGTTCGCCGGCCTTGGGTGACGGCGACTCGGCGTGAGACGGCTGCTTGTGCCTGTCCCTTTTATCCCGAAAGCTTTCCCTTTCCTTTTTCTCTACTTTGAATCGGCTCTTGGGATGGGGCTCCTTTATGGGGAAGTGGTCACCGCCACCGGCTGTGCCCGGACTGCTGCCTCCAGCAGCCAGTGCGGCATTGGCTGCGGCAATGGAACTGGAACGCGCTCGCTCCTGCTTGGCAATCTGCACGATGTCCACAAGCGACGGTTTCCGGGTGCGTCGTATCTGCTGCAGGCGTGAAAGACCAAAGCGCTTCTCCTTGGGCTCCTCATCATGCGGCAGCGAATCCTGGTGCTCAGTGTCCGTGTCATCGTCATCGCGACGCACAAAGGAGTCCTCATCCGAGGTGGCCGAGCCCTTGCGCAGTGCCTTCTTCATGATGCGTGAGATTAGCTCTGGAGAAGCGCGGAGGCGTGAAAAGGGGAAAGGGGATTACACAATATACTGTGGAATTTTCGATAGACGCTCACCTTTCCTTGCCTGATTCTTGTACTCCTCAGTGTCAAAATCTGGCGGCTGTGTGGGCGTGACGGGGGATGATGCCTCAAGTACCTTGCGCCAACGATTTGTCAGAGTTGTGGCCGTTGGTTCCGCCTGCTTAACCTCTGGTACTTTGAAAATCTTTTTGCGCTCCTCCTCCCGCTCCTTCTGCAGCTGTGTGCGCAGATCTTGATTAGCCTCGCGTAGCGCGCCCGTCAACGATATCAGATAATAGATGATGAGTATGAGGAGCAGCAGCAGAGGTATAACAGTGCTCGAGGATGTCAGATAGTCAAGGGGCTCATGGAGTTGCCTGAAGTGAGGGTGGACAGAAATGTATGCTATGATTGGACATACATAATATTGTTACTTACTTAGGCAATGCGTTGCGTGTGGTATTCGTAATGAATTCGGCAATTCGATTGTATTCCGAAAACGGGCCACAATGCCAGGAGGGACGCAGCCAGACAATCGCATAGCCCACGGGCAGCACACAGAGGAACAGCATGGTCAGCAGCAGCGATAAATAGAAATTGTTGGACTTGGAAGCTCTGCAAGCATATTTGGTTGATTAGGTGAAACAATTGATTGGGACAATGGAATACTCACTTGAATACCACCTCGTGCGGCACATTGCATGTGAGCACTATCCATGACCTAAAGTACATCATAATCATCAGTTTGACAAGGTTGATGAGCACCAGACCCGGCGAGAAGAATATGCCCATCCACACTTGGCCCTGGTTATTAATCAACGTCAGGATGTTCTCGGCTATCTTAAAGTCGCCATACTGCATGTCAGGCGCCACAAAAACAAAGCGTCCCATTAGTCACCAAGTTAAGAGTTGAGAGTTGAATACGAGGATTAGGTATGTAGTAGGTGGTAGGAGGCGTCTGTCTCTCACCTGCGGAAACGTTTTCTCCATGTCCCAGCACCAGTTTTGATTGACGTAGCGCACAAATAGGGCACGCAAGAAGTCGATGCACAGCGGCGCCACAATGGACATAAGCTGCAAGGGCCAGCGTGCGGTGGTGAGAGGATTATAAGAGGGTTAGGAGCATTTTGTAATGAAGTACTCTGGTCACTGCTTAAAACCCGCCACACGTAGCACATCCTCTGCATTGTCTCGCCTTTGCCCGTCCTGTCCCGGCTGCAGTTAAAGCCATGTTTATGGCTGATTTGGCTGGCCCCAAACTATCTGACCAAAAACCCATACATTTTCCAACCGAAATTCATGCACGAACACGTGCCCAGCAACCAGCCAAAAACCGCACATGGCCCAAAAACCCAATTTGGCCTTAACGAACGCACTGCTGCAAAATTTGTTATGCATAAGGCATAAATGCGCTTAACTGAAGCCCTGTAACATGCTTAATTTATGTTCCCAAATCGTTTAATAGAGATTATGTACGCCATGTCGAGTTGACAATAACAACAATAAGAAACTCTACATAATCAAATCGTGTGTCCTTTTTTTTTCATTTCTGTGTGTGCTCTTTGGCTGCCTCTGCCTCGTCCTAAGCTGTTTACAGGCTCGGCGGCAACAGCCAAAAAGTAGGCCCAAAGTGCCGACCGGCCGGCTGACCCTGAAAAGTTGCTCGTAGATCCCAATGAATTTGCTGGCGATTAGCCTTGAAGTTCAAAATCAAATCCTTGGCCAATCGACACTCGTTCAACAAAAGAAAAACTTTGGCAAATCGATGCCAAAAGTTCAAAAATGTTTCTTATGCAAATGGCTATTGATATAAATTTCGCCCAGACAGCCGATGCCAGCTGTGTGCTGTGGCCAAAAGACTCCAGAGAGCGATTAGTATGATAAAATGTATTCGTTACACTGTTCCCCATGGCATAATGGGTATATATATGGCGTGGGTCTGTTAAAATATACATGTCTACAATATTAAAGCTGGGACACTTTAGTTTTCAACGACTATTTATAAGGAGTTCCTTATCAAAGTGCGAACAGAGTATCTTACTGTTGGGAACTTTCGACGTTTTTCCATATTTGTTTTTCGTCTTGCTCTGTTTTTTTTTTCTTGCGGCGTTTGTTGCTTTTTGCCCCCGCTTCAGACTCTGCCAAAAATTTGATTTTTTGCATGAAAAGCGGAAAACAAATTTTTTTTTAAAGTATTTTCCGCACAATTTGGCTAAACGGGATTTCACGCTTGAGCGTTGCGTTTTAGCTGCTGTATCTTAAAGTTCGATCATATTTTAGGTTTAAATGGACTTTTGATATGTGCAAAACGGCAGCTGTTTATCTGGCCGGGTCCTGTGCCGGAAACGAGGCATTTGACTGGCGCAAAGGAAATTGATAGCTACTCATGATGATGATAAATTTGTGTTTAAACTGTGGTTGGCTTGGCGCCCGCTTACCCCGTCGAAGACGATGACCTTTGACAGCTCCTGGCCAAGGGATGTTTCCCAGCACATGGTCGTCAGATTCATTTGGATTTGTTTGAGCGTCAGCTGCACCTCCTTCAGCCGCATAACTTGACGCTCCAGCGGCGTCTTCATCGCAGTCGTTGGCTGCTTGACTTCACCGCTGAGCGTGGTGTCCAGTCCGTCGGGTGTGGTGCTGCCACCAAAAATGTCTTCGCCCTCCTTCGGACACACGGTTATCACACAATAGCCAAGCTTCTCGTTGTCGTAGTAAACGGTGCTTCCCACATCCGCTATATCATCGAAGCCTATGAAATAGGGCGTCACGGTGGCTCCATTCTCATCCGTATACTCATATTCCTCGGTGGTGGTGCTGCCGCTGCTGCTGCTGCTGCTCGAGTCCGTGCTGTAGATGTCCGTTGTTGTTGTGGGCTCCTCCGTAGTGGTTGTTGCTATTGTTGTTGTTGTTGGCTGCTCTGTGGTACTTGTCTTGATGAGTCCGCCACGCCTTAGATTCTGCCGGCGGTTCCACTCCTCTTCGCTTAGAATTCTCCTCACCGGATTATATGGTGGGTAATATATGGGCCTGGTGGGTGGATTACTGGCAGCTGTGGTCGACTCTGTGGCAAAGCCAGCCGTGCCTCTCGTATCATTTCGATGACGTCGACTGTATTTGCTTGAGTACCAAATGGGTGGCCCAGCCACTGCTCTCTTTCGGCGCGTTGTCACCGGCTGGTCATCCACTTGGGCTAGCACCTGGGCCAGCGGATCATCCGATTCCTCGGTGGTTGCCTGATAGTCGACGCCTGGCTCGGATAGTTCTGCACCCTCAAAGTAATCCACATAGTTGAAGTAGCTATCGTTGCCCGGCGCCGCTGTTGTTGTCGTGGTTGAGGAGTCAATCTGTGGCTCATCGCTGCCATAATCATAGGCTGGCTCCTCGTCCGTGGTAAAAGGCGCTTCTGTGGTGGTGGTTGTTGTGGTTGTTGTAGGGGTAGTTGTTGAGGTGCTTGTTGTTGTGGGCAATGTTGTTGCCGGCGTTTTGGTCGTTATTGTTGTCGCTTCTGTGGTTGTCGTTGCTAAAGTAGTCCAAGGAGTTGTTGTAGTCGTTGTTGTTGTTTCTGTAGTGGCTTCTGTAGTGGTTGTTGGTGGCATTGTAGACCAAGTGCTTGTTGTCGTAGTTGCTTGTGTTGTGCTTGGTGTTGTTGTTGTTGTTGGAAGAGTTGTTGGCAACACCGTTGACGTGGTCAGATTGAGTAACAACAAGGTTGTTGCTATATTCTTCGAGCTGATCAATATACGTCTGGGTTTTGAGCATTTCACAGTTATGTTGTAACACTTTAGCCGCTGCAATGTGGTTATAAATGCGCCCACTGCAGTGCTCGAGAAGATGGCATCTGTGGTGCCGGCACCGTCGGCGCCCCAGGACGAAGTCGTTGTCGGGTCATCGTAGAGCCCATCCGAGGTGCTGTCGCTGTAGATGGGCGTTGTGGTTGTCATGGCACGCAGCGCCTCGATGGAGCTCATCAGATTGTGCAGCTCCTGGGTGTTGGTTTCGTTCTCCAGCTTCAGCATTTGCAGCGGCTTCTCTTTGCTGTTTATCTTGTAGATGAAGGAGAACATGAGCGAGTACAGATTCAGCATGTTCAAAATCATGATGCTGTGATGAGAAGGGGGTTAGGAGTGCGGACGTTAGTTGATGGACTTGCAAAAGTTTTAATCCTGCCGCTTACCGGGCTAATTGCAGACGCAACTGTTGCCTGGGATGCCAGTTCTCGAATAAGCCCAGAGCTTCGAAAATCATGGGCAGAAAGAAGGAGAGCAACGTCATCGTCACGTTCACCGCATTGCGGCTAAGCCAATTGTCGTGCTTGGCCAAATCCTCGGAGCTGGTTGAAATGGACAGCTACAATTAGGTGTATTGGCTGGCGGGGAAGGGGACTTACTGATTCACCAGCAGCACCACGGTAGCGCCCGATAATGCCAGCAAGCCCATGACCAAAATGTTGACCAATATCCTTTGCAGGATAACGCGCCAGCTGCGAGCATAAGACTCCAATTATAAACTGGAATTGACGCTGATTTCCGTTGTACTTACTTGCGATTATCCTTTTTCTTTTCAGCTTCCTCGAGCAGCGCCTCCTTGAAGCCAACCACAACGGATGCGATGCGATTATGCGCTGTCTCCGCGTGTCCTGTTGTCGGTGTAAAGCCGATATAATCACGGTACTCGTTTAGCTGTTACTGCCACTTACCAATCATAAAGTCCCAGCCGGTGAATAGCTTCCAGGAGAAGACGCACTCATCATCCTTCGAGGAAAGTTTCGAATTGCGCGAGTTCTCAGCCATCCTGCCAAAGAAGATAAAGTGCGAAAAAGTTTTTTGTTAGCTGCTTACAACACATAATTGGCGCACAAATCCGTGCAAAGACAAATGCTACATAAATTTGAGTACAATTCACGCATGCCGCGCACGTGCCGCAAACATGTGGCAGGCAGGCAGGCAGACAGGCAGGACAAGTGGCAAGGTCAGTGCCGGCATCCGCGCCGTTGACATTGCTACTTTGTTCAATTACGAAATCAACATAATGCCAACAAAGCCATTAAACGGAACAAGCGTATACACGCCCTAGACCTCGCTTCCTCCTCCAATCGACCCGACGGCCTAGCTCCTGCCCCTGCCCCTGCCCCTGCCGCAGCTGCTGCAGGTCTCGTGTCTGGCCGCGTGCGTGCGTAAATCATAATGGCCAAGTTTCTTTTGATAGGCGAAAAAGTTTTGCCTTTCTGTTCTTCCTTGTTCTGGACACGCCTAGCGACAAGATTTGTATTATTTAATCAGCACGACGTTCGGTTTAATTAATTAACGACCATTTTTGGCATTTAGTTTGCTTTTGTGGCTTCGATGTCCAAAGATTTAATGAAGTGCCCTATCAGCCCACGCCCCGCCCACGACTGCTACTCACTTTCTCAGCGTGGCCACAAAGCTGTAGATGTAGACCAGGACGGCGGTAAGAAAATAAGCCAAAGGCAGCTTATAGCCGGATGTGCTGATGCCGGAAGTGCTCGAGTAATAACTAGAAACAGGAAGTAAGCCAAGAGATAAATATGCACAATGAAAGCCGGGAAAACAAACAAGGAGACAGAGCGCAAATTTGCCAATTCGCCAGTTCAAATTTTAAAACCTACCCATAGAACATGGGCGAATACTTCAAGTAGCCCTCGAATTCCCAAAACGTAAAAAGATTACCGGCCACTTTATATTCCGGTTCAGACATGCGTTTGCGCGGATCCGTTTCATCGTGCTTGGTGGCAAAGTACTATATGGAAAATATATATATATGTATTCAATATGAAGAACATTAATATTTTGTTGTTTTTGCTGCACGCTCACCTCCGGTCCAATAACGAAGGCAACGAGCGGTATGGCAATCATAATGTTGACCCACATGAGCCAGCGCAGGAATGTAAAATAGGATGCGACGCCGGAGCCGAAATGCGATTCGATTTCCTTGATGCGCAGCTCCCAGGGTATGAGCACTGTAAGAAAACTGGCGGTTTCGCGTTTCCAATGCCGCCAGCGCTGCGGAAGAGCACAAAGAACATGCGTGAATGCCACAGATTCGAATTCGGTTTGTTGACTTCGTATTTTAATTGGTTTTCATGTGGATTACACAGCCAAAAGAAAATGCAGCATGTCGACATATTTTGTGAATTATGGAGCTCTTGATTTATTTGTGGACCATAAATTGTGTAAACATAAATATATGCAGGACACTTGGCCGGACTAAGGGGCCTGGCAAAGTGTTTGCTTAAGGCAAGCAGCACTTGCTGTGTGTTGTGTGTGTATGCGTGCTGGTGTGTGTTATGGTGCTGAAAGATTTCACTTACCGCTGCCATTAAAATTTTAAACCTCGCCCACAAATCTCTCGTGCTGCGTGACATGGCAAAGCGCTCCTGCAGCGCGCCCTCGTGGCGTGCCACATACGTTTTCGCCTGTCAACATCATTAAAAATGCCAGGCAAAAAAAAAAACACAGAAAAGAAACCATCAGGAGGGCGAGAAAAGATTGACACATGAAATCGAAATATTTGCTGTGAATTTAATGGCCCACTAGCTGTGGCTAAGGCTAACACACTAAGTCAAAGGCTAAGGCGTGAAATGTGACGCGCCCAGCTTTGGCCCAGTTAACCGAGCGGATTGGTCGAGCTGCCTACCTGGCGCACCAGCTTGAGCTTCTTGCGTATGTGCCATGGCTGTAATTTGACCGACTGTATGACCTCCTTGTGTAGGCGTATATTCTCAAAGATTTGCTCCTGTGTGGACTCCTGATTGGTGCCCTCCTCTGCGAAAGCAAAATAAACATTACACATACGCCACGTTGACCACGTGCCACTAAATGGCCGCACGTAGCTCGAGAAATTACTATAACTGCCTTCCTCCACACACACACACACACACGCACACATTGATTAGCCACTGGAGGGCAGTAAGTTAAACGAAATCTTTCGAAAACAGTTATTGGGCTGAGCCTTGCCTGAGCTTGTTGTATAAACACTGGAGCGTCGCCGCTCCACACTATCGAGCACGTGATCCATGGGACTCGATGCACGCCGCGAATTGCGACTGCCACGTTTGCCTCTATAGCCACGCACACTGGCACGTCTTTGCATTATCGCCGATACGGAAATTGAGTAGTCCTCCTCATCATCATCAGCATCAACGGCGCCATTTTGCTGCTGCTGTTGCTGCTGCTGCTCGTAGGCGAGTTCCTGGTTGTGCGTCGGCTCCTGTTGGTTGTTGTAGGCGCAACTCTCAGCGTCGCTGCTTTGGTTTGGTGCGTGAAAATCTGTGCACATGGCAAATGGAAATGTGTGGAAATTGTGACAAATAATTGAAATTATGTGCAGCTATTCGGGGTAAGTTCTAGTGCATACCGTTTAGTTCATAAGATTTGTTTTCGTCCTGCGATGCAGTTCTTTAAAAAAAAAAAGGAAAACCCTTTTTGTATACATCTGCAATTTAAATCAATTTCCTTGAATTCGCCCAAGTTTTCACTTACCTTCTGCCTTTTTGACCTCTATAATATTCTCTACGCTCGTCGGCGCTGCTCTGCATTTGCCAGCCGCCTTTATCCCAATCGCATGGCGGCGCCCACGTCACAGATAATTGATGTGGAGAGGTAACGCCCGAGTTGTTCTAGGAATTGTTCAATTTTAATTAAATTTCTGCATTCGTTTATCAGATGGGGCCAGTCGCCAGCCAAAACATTTGCATATAAACATATATATATTAAACATTTAAATCACACACATAGGCATCTCTGCATTCTTTATATTATATAATACTTTTTGCTCATCACTATAGTTATTCGATTATTATAAATACTTAAGTCTTTAGTCTACAAAAGTTTTCTTTTCAATTTCGTGGCACCAAATTTGATTCAATATTGGTTTGTTGTGCCGTCGTAACGCTTTGGAGCAGCCTTATGCGCAGACTGAACGGCTTAGCGAGCTGGCCAGACCAGCAAGCCGCACACACAGGACATCAAAAGGACAACGCGACACACAAACACACAAATACACACACAAAGATGGGTTGAAGAGCGAGCGAGCGCGCTAAGTTAAATTTTTTCTAATAATGAATGAATATGAATGAAGCGCAGAGACCCAAACCGAACCCCACCCATGGCCAACAGACTTATCAAAGCCAAAACGTGCCCAAAACGCATACACAGACACAGCAGCACACACATACACACACACACACACAAGCCCAAGAACGTTAAGGAATTTACATAGACACGCGCGGCGGCATTGAGGTAGGAAAGGGTGTGCAGGGGCAGGTAGTATGGAGAGGGGGGCGGAGTTGACCACTCGTTGACTTCCTCGCCCAGTTGAAACGAAGACGAATGAGCGTTAAAATCGCCAGCGGCATGTGATAACAACGCCAGGCGTAACCAGTTGGCCAAACCAAGGAGTCAGGCAACCAGCCAGGACATCGAATGTTCATTTAGATGGCCGACAAAGCTGTGTGCGTGTATGTGTGTGTCTGTGTGTGTGTGTGTGTGGCAGGATTGAGTCACGTTGTATTCTTGTCCTGGCTAGCCGACCGGGCTGGCATGTAAATGAAAATCAAACATGCAAGGGTTGATAAAGAAAATCGCAAATTACAACAGCAAGAAGCACACACTAACACACAATCACACACTCACACACACGCACTCGAGCATAGGACGCGCCCACTATTGAAATATGTTTTCATATAAGTTTTAGTCGTCTGCTGTGTTTCGGTTTCGCTTTCGCTTTCCAAAAGCGCTTTTTACCAGATTTCGCTATCCTTTAACTTTTTGACTGTGCTTTTAATTAAATGAAGTTCTGCCTGCTACGGCATTTTTAATTAACGTCAAAATTTATTTGTGCGTGCCGTGTGCCGCCAAATGGCAAACCCCTCCCCTTCCCCCTCCCCCTCTTCCGGCTTCTTAACTGAAATCATGTCGCACGTGTAACATAATTTGGTGGGTTTTTATGGGTTCATTAGCCGCTGTGACAGGTGCAACGGCATTTGGCACATGTAAGCAAATGCCTTCTTGTACCAGAGACCCGCTGACCCAAATGCCACACCCACAACACACACTCACACTCACACACACACACACCGACACACATGTGTTAGTTTAAGTGGTTTTCCATGTTCGATTGCAGTTTTTTTTTTGTTGAGGTGCTCGTCATAAATCTAACGCCCAAACATGGGCTAAGCCCGCGGCAATGCAATATATTTGGCTGACACGGCTTTGACCTCAAAAGACGCTGAGAACGGATAATACTATAGAATTTGGGTTAATCGCCGGGCATAACATATTAATTTTACAATTTGTACAACTTTTTGCTATTATTATCTGATTAATTTAAGCGGCAGACGTTTTCCTCCGTCTTCGATCGCCGAATGGGGTAGTCTTTTTTTGAGAGTCGTCTGTATTGAGGTTCACGTTTCAGCGTATGATCCATAATGGAACTGCAGCTCCTGGTGGTGCTGCCCAAGTGCAAACGCACTTCTCTCGCCGAGGCGAGGCTCTCCTCGCTTCTAGAGCGTCGGCACAGCTTGCACCTGCGCTGCGATGTCAAGGGAACTTTTTGGATCGGATGTGTCTTCAGTTCCCCAGCGCATTCCAGATTATTGCGCAAGATCTGACGCGCAAACTTGGACAGCACCTCCTGCTTCAGGTGCTTGCCCTTTAGGGGACCATGGCGACAATTCTCGCGTACCCAGCGTCGCACATTGCGACAGCCCACATAGAATTGGGTCGTCTCGGTCATATGCTTGGGCATATTTTTCAGGAAGCCCATATCAGTAAGCAGCCCAAAGCCGAGATCGAAGACGTTGCGGTGCAGCGGCGGCGGATCGGGGCCATCATTGGTCAGAAACGTATCCGGACCCACAGCTTCCAATTGTGTCAATCGTTCTGCATTAAAGCGACGATCTGCCGGTGTGCAATAGTTCCAGTTCTCAAAGCTTATCCTGTCTTGGGTCAACGTGAACTGCACGGGCAGCAGATCGGTGAAGCTCATTCTGCTAATATGCTTCAGCTCCCCATGATGATGCACCACATTGAAGAACACACAATACGGCTTTGGTAATTCTATGGTTCCATTGCCGTGAAAGCGATTATTGTAGAACTGACCCAAGTATCTGGTGCCGTCGGGATAGACATACAGTCCATGGTCCTGCATGCCCAGCTCATTGTAGTTTCCATAGAATTTGGAGCCCGTGAGAAAGCTAGCAGTCTGAGTCGACGACGATAGATTTTCCATTGCTGGGATAATTGCTATGCACGCGATATATGATGCTGTGTATGTAATTTTTTTTTGTCTATGTATTTTTGTGTTTGGTATATTTTATTTGTAAAATATATAACTGGCAATGTCAACACAAACAAATCTTTTGAGAGACTACTAAAACGATCGATTTCATCAGATAATGTATCTTTTCAAACAACTTTTGTTACATTTTCCTCTCGTAATTCCAAATTCCAAAATCCATGTTCAACTTGACGCAATGGGCAAAGCGTGTCGCATATTATACTTTACACATACTAAAAAAAACATGTTTCAAGTTAATGAAAAAAGGAACTAAATAGGTTTTACACAAGCGTTTTTCAGCTATGTTTTTTAGCTTTGCATCCAAAACTATTTTTTATTTATAAATAAAATAACATTGATTTAATTTAATTTCAAACGCCCATACAGTCCTGGCTCCCCATCATGTGGCTTCAGCTTTTGATATATTTATAATTTTGAACTTCGTGAGTCTATTGGATTTATTCAGTCGTATGCATTACTTGAATTTGTATTAAACAATATATTGAATGCATAATTTAATTTGATGCTTGGCTTTATAGCTCGAATATGGAACGAGTTATGTCCACAAAGCTGCCTGGACGTTTCATATTCGATTGGACCACATGTAAGCTACCTGTGGGTTTCTTCTGTATCATCGGGAATGCAGCATCGTAGAGTTGCTTGACATCTGTGTGCAGCGATACGTCCGACGGACTCTTTGATATGGTGCGCGTGGCGCCCGAGTCCCCGTCTAGGGGATCCGAGCTGCTGGTCCACACGCGAGCCCTAGCTGGTGGCATTTTATCAGACAGACGTTGCTTCTTAGCTAGGTCCTGCTCCTTCGCGAAATGCGCAAGTAGGCAGAGCTCAGTGGTCGTTGTTGTTTTCTGGAATGGAGGGCGTGTGAATGGTGTCTGTTCCTGGTCTACGGTTTTGTTATCTTTGTTATCTATTAGTGACTCCTGGCACAGCTTGGGGAAGTAGCGTTCGCGATGAATCTCCTTGTCGGGTGCATAGATGGTAATATCATTCAGTTGGCTTAGCTCGGTCTCCAGATTGTTGTTAACGATCTGCCTGCAAAAGCTTGGCAACGGCTCTCGGACATTCTCCTTGCGCTCGCCACGGCAATGCCGCATTATCCAGGCTTTCTCCTGCGGACAGCCCACATAGACGGCCTTCGAAAAGGGCGGTGGTCTCTCGCACAACCAGCCGGTCTTGGCATTGAATATTCCCTCCTCCACATCATAGCATTTATGGGGCACTGGGCGCACTAGTAAATTGCTTGTCAAATAGGCGGTGGGCCCGACGGGCTGCTGGCCATAGAAACGCTCCGTCTGATAGCGACGATCGCTCGGCGTCAGATAGTCCCAATCATCGCATTGGAACTGGTCATCCTGGAAGCTGCCCTGCACGTGCAGACCATCACTGAACCACATGTCCTCAATGGTCACCAGTTTGCCTTTTTCAAACTCGCCCTTGATTGTAAAGCGAAAGGGTTGTGTCAGCTTCAGGTGCCCATAGCCATGGAATTTGCCATCGACGAATCTACCCCGATACTCGCTGCCATCCGGATAACGATAGCTACCGAAGCCATCCATCATGTGCACCGATTCATTCCAGGAGCCCTCAAAGCTGCTTCCCGTGAGGAAGCGAATGGAGGCAACATCCGTTGGGTTCAACGACATTTCAGCTTGGAATTTCTCTTATTTTTGTTAGACTCTGTGATGTTTTGTTGTTTGATTTAGTTTTTGACTGGTTTCTGGGCTTGTATTAAACTAGAGAAAATATTGTTCTGAATGCCTATGTGTGACGAGCACTTGACCCACATTTGAAGCCTGCTTTGCTGAGATTACACGTTAGCTTTATGACTTAATGAGTGCGTGCCAAGGCGTGGTCCTACCCGCCATTTGTTTGCCCAGTACGCGTCGCTGGTCATTAAGCGTTTAACTTTATGTACACTTTACACAATTGTAATGGCCAAAAAGGGTATTATAAAGTTGTATGAACTACATATACTCTGCCAGCCTCTGGTTGTATTAATGAGCGCTACTTGGGGCCATTCACTTTTCGATTAACGCTCCGTTTTTGCTACTGCATTTTATGAGAGATATCCCCCCCAAAAAAAAAAACAGATTTGACCAGGTGTTGGTGGTGCTTATGGCTATTGGCTTGTGTGCCGCCGCTGCTGCACGTGTCCTGGCCAAATCGTAAGCACTCCCCGGCGTACAGTAAATCATTTTCACTTACCTCACTGTTGGCGCCCGTGACATTGGCGCTGCTGCTGCCACCGCCACCGCCACCGCCACTGCCATTGCCAGCACCACTCACGCAACGAAAATCAACGGAACCACCTGATGAACGTCGTGGCTTGCTTATGTCCAGCCGGAGTATGCCCGGCTTGGGACGACGTGGCTCAGGGGCTGGTGTGCTGCGCACGGGGTCGGCCGCGTCGATAGCTGTTGTGGCCATCGATGGGGCCACATTTTCACTCGACTCGTTTTGCATGTCCTGGCAAATTCACTGAGTGCCGCGCACACGTCCGCTGTGCAGCGCCAACGCGAACGTACTATATCCATGTCCTGGCCAAGGAAGCAACAATTACGCGCCCAGTCGACAGTAGCAGCAGCAACAGCAGCAGCAGCGAAAATAAAATGTGAATTAAACGCGTTGGCGTTGGCGTTGGCGTTCAAGCCACGCAATAAATGTGAATGTGAATGTAAATGTGAATGTGAATGACGTTGGCGCGGCGACAGCAGGAGAACAGGACACGCGGCACTTTCAACTGTTTCTCGTTGCTGTCACATAGCTCACATGTTGATGTTGTTAACTCTGCACACTGTGCGTGTGTCTGTATGTGTGTGTGTGTGTTTGTGTCTGTCTGTCTGTGTGGACTTCCTGTTTTCAGGGTCGTCGCGCTGCCTACACATTAACATGGCTTTTAGCTTTGTATAATTATGTCCGTTGCCTGTGCCCCAAAAAGTGTCAAAAAAAATTATATAAGAAAAATAAAAGTGAAAATATCGCATGTCGCGCTTTTCATTTTTCATTTTCATACGCTCCATTAGTGCGCTTCTTTTGCTTTTAGTCCGAGACCCCGTCAGCCGTCCACACTTCCGTCCCCTCCTGTAACAATCGTAGTAATTATGACCACACACACACACACACACACAAGTCGAGTTGGGTGGGTTTTTCTAATTTTCAATATGCGATATATACGCTCACACGCCCACTGGCCGCCGCTGCCGCCCCACGGACAAGCGCATGAGTGCGCTTGTTAGCTGCCAGCCAAGCCCACTTGCTGTGCCATGTAGCATGTCCTGGCGGGTCCTAGCGCGTCCTGCTGGCTCCATTACATGCGCAGCACGTTAAATTAATTGAACAGCAAAGTGTGCAACGGCAGCAACAAATTAAAAACTGCATGTGCGTTTAATTTTTATTATTCACTTTATTCTGCTGCAAAGCTTAAAATCATAAAATGGAATTAATCTAATATTAGATAGTTTTGTAAAATGCTCTTGGAATGTTCGCGTAAAAAACGTTCAATGCGTGTCTGTGTGTGTGTGAGTGTGTGCTTGTGTGTTAATGTGCGTGCATGTTTTCTATTTATGCTTAGTACAAATTTCAGTTTCAGTCTCAAAAATTGTTGCATAAATTAACTAAAACATTACGTACATAATTTTTTAAAATCTCGTTTTCATTCTCAAAATTAGTTTAAATTTTATTGCTCAATGCGGAAATGCCTTAAAATCGTTAGGGATATCGTCTCTTAATATAAATAATTTGGGCGCAGTCCACAGATAACTCTCTGCTGAATCAGCTTTAATATTTATGAATTAATGTCAACTTATTTCATTTAACTTTCAAAACTATCAAAGTTTGAGTGCAATTTAATTCGACTTACTTTGCACTCAATCTTCAATCTGTTTGACCTATTTAATCTACCTGGGTTTCCAGTTGTCCGCCTAAATCCACTCGAGCTGCGGTAATCACGTACACGCCACGTAGCCCGCCCACATAATTTTATAGAGCTGCCCAAAAATGCTCGCACACAAAACGGCGGCCGCATAAAAGTAAAATCGATTTATGCATAAAAATGCTTGATGCTGAAAAATGTATGAATAGCAAACATTTGAGCTGCTGCTACTTGTGTAAGCCACAGTGTGTGTATGTGTGTGTGTGAGCTGTGTTGTGTTGTGTTGTCCTCGTTGTTAACTTGGCTTATTTACTTAGCCATACATGTTCCAGCAGCCAAATCCGCAAGGCAGCTGCAACAGCTATGGTCTGTACGTTATTTTGCCCATAAACAATTTTCCACATTGCTTCCTTTTGCGCTTTTTGCATGTTGTGTTTGCTTAGCTTAATAACCAGTTTTTCTCAAACATGAAAAGTTGGCCAAGTTAAGCAGCAATTGCGGTGCTTTTATTATGCTTCGTTTCGTTTTTGTTCCATTCGAGTCAAGAGGGCGTATGATAAATACGCCCGCTTTGTCCACCTAATGAATTGCCTGACTGCCTACCTGCTTGTTTGCCGGGCATTGCATGTGTGTGCGAGTTTGTGTGTGTGTGTGTGTGTGTGTTACATGCGAAATACTTTTACTTAGTTTATTAATACTTAAATACACATTGAGCTTAAGCCTTATGCTCGCTAATTGACTTATGTCTACGCTTATTTATTACTTTATTCTTGCTTTTATCTCGTCTTTTTGTGTGTGTGCGCGCGTGTGTGAGTGTGTGTGTGTTCATGGCATTTTAATGAGCATGTCGTTCGTTTTGGGTTAATTTGGTCATTTAGTCTATTGATTTTCATATTTACTAGCCTAAGTATATAAGTAACTAGCTACTTGGCTCGATAAAAGCCCCATTGCCTAGGGCTATGCTAAAAAAAAAACGCAGTTAGCAGCTAATAAACGCACACATTACGGCTGGCAGGGTTTGGAGCTAGAGGGGGGAGGGTTGAGTTAAAATGTTGTCACTTTGCCCAAACGCATGCCAAGCAATTTACGACGTTTTTTGGCGCTTAACTTAGTCCAAATGGTGCTGCTGCCCTCGACGAGCAGAAATTCATCGCATAAATCATCCGTTTCCTTTACCATGCCGCCATAGAAATGATCCTCCTGATACTTCTCAGAGCGCGAGTCGCCGGAAACGAAGCCGCTTTCTGGGCGGGACAGCGAGGCGGTATGCCAGGGCAGCTGTTGAAACCAGCGAGCCACTTTGGCCGTCGACGAGAGCTGTGAAAATGAGTCGAGCATAAACAAAAAGTCAGTGTGTAAATTTATGCAAATGAGTTATGTGCGCAAATTGCTGTCCACCAACACCAGAGAATGTGGGAGAAAATTGAAGAGAGGAGGAGAGTGGGAGGGGGGCGCTGAGAAGGAAAAGTGAAAAACGGCGACACTTGTTTTTTTTTGTTGCTTTCTGCACTTTCTGCTTGCCATCGTTTTTCATTTATCACACCAAATTTATGCACTGCCTGTTCGGCCGTTCATTATCCGACACGGCGTATGCGTAATACAAATGCGCTTAAGAGTATGCAGCACTTTTTTTCTTTGCTCCCCTCGAAAGTTTTTTTTCGTTCGCTTCTGCTGTAAAACTCATTAGGGAAATTGTCCAACGCTGCGTAAGCTGACAATTATTAATGAATGTAATGATTATACATGATTTTATAAAGATATTTTATTATTTTTATGCTTTTTTATTGCTGTTGTTTGCCTGTTTTGTTGTTTGTAGCTTTATGTTTAGTTAATAAATAAAACGATAAATTGTATATTTAACAGTTGCTGCAACCAATTAATCTTGCGTTTGTTTTCGACATTTGTTCAGATAACAATTGTTTAATTATTTTGGTTTTATCCGATTTTGTGAGCAAACATTTTTGGAAGTTTTGCATTAACATAACATTTACATAACAACAGTTCACTAAATAGTTTTTAACTAAAGCGATTTAGAGCTTAACAACTAGTTACTTTGACACTTTAAAGGGAGAGAAAATACTTTGATATATAATTTATTTTTTATTTTATGATATGCTGCAGTTGTAGTATATTTTCTATTTGCCTTTTGAAAAATACCTTGCAGGACTAGAAATTCAGAGAACTTAAAATTGCAAACTAAAAACAATTTTTGCGCTATCCTTTAATACTGTTACTCATACTCATACTCATACTCATACTCATATTCATGTTCATGCTCATACTCCAACTCCAACTCATACTCATACTGACACTCATACTCATCCCCATACTCATACACATACTCATACTTATACTCATACACATACTGATACTTATACTCATACACATACTTATACTCATACACATACCGATACTCATACACATACTTATCCTCATTCTCATACTCTTACTCATTTTTATACTGATGCTCATACCCATATTCATATTCATTCTCATACTCAAACCTATACTCATTCTCACATTTACGCGTAAACGACTTAGCTTAGTTGACTATTATAACTTAAGAGCTGGTCCACTCTCAATGGTTATTGTTGGCTTCTTCTCATTTGGTGGTGTGCCTGGCCCAGGCGGTGCGCTGTACCTGGCTCATCATTTGGCTGCGGTTGGGCACCTTCTCGCTGGTGCTGCGTGTTATAAAACTGGGCGTGGCCGATAGCTTGCGCTGATGACCCGCCTCGTCGGTGACACGCAGCAGCACAGTATTAAAGCGGGTTTCTCTCGAATTGTTATTGTTGTTGTTATTGTTGACATTGCTCTGGCAGCTGCTGCCGGGGCTGATGTTATTATTGCTGCTGCGTTGACGCGGCGACGATGGTGAGTCGAGCGTGGAGGAGCTGCAGCTAGTGTCCCTTGTACTAGTGGAGCCGCCACAGGCCAAGCTAGCCAGATTGCCATTAGACACCGCCACCTTGAGCTGCTCCTCCAGGCTATTCAGATTCTGCTCTATGCTCAGACGCAAATCCTCGTTAAGCATGGAGCTGCCTGTGTATGAGTTGCGATTTAAGGTGCCCAGCGGCGATGGCGTTAGTGTGCCCGCATTAAGTCCGCCCGGCGACGCCAGAAAGTTGAATCCACCAACCGCATTGTTGTTGCTCAGCGTCGAGGGCGTTGCTGGTGTGCAGGACAGCGGATTCACAAAGAAGTAGGAGCTGTTAGGCGATGCCGATGGCGTTTGTGGCGTCTGCGTTGCATTCGCACTAAGATTCAGTGCCTGCAGGCGATTCAAGAGCTCCTGGTTGACCTGAAACAGATCCTTGGAGAGCGCATCCTGCTGCTGCTGTTGCTGCAGCTGATTACTAATCGTATGCAACTGGCTTATCGTGGGATATGGACTGCTACCACTGGCTCCTGTGGACGCCAGCGGCGGCGTTGGTGGCGTCAGCTGCGCCTGTTGATGTTGCTGTTGCTGTGGCGTCGGCGTCGACGGCGTCTGTTGCAGGCCCTGCAGATTCTGTAGGTTCTGGCTCTGCTGATTGAGGCCGCTCAGCTGCTGGCTCAGCGAGGTCAATTGCTGATTGATGTTGCCCAGATTGTTAATCTGCTGATTGATTGTGGCCAAATTGTTGTTGTTGCTGGTCGCCTGTAGCAGCAACTGCAGCTGTGACTGCTGCTGTTAGAAAGGGTATCGCAAGTCAATAACGCTGCCGCTTAACTTAATCAATGAACAACAAACAAGCAAACAAACAAACAAACGTGCAAAAGTAAACGCAATAAGAACATATCTAGGCGGGCTGCAAAGTAAAAAATAAACATGCATAGGGCTCCTCGAATTCGTATTTATTTTTTCTTCAAATTTTGTATTTCTTTTTCATTTGAATAATGAGAGCAACAAAATTATGAAGGCATAAATTAAAGCGCAGTTTGTTTACGGCAATTGGGGCAAAGAACATAAACTGTTAAGTTAACTTGCCACGTTCAGGGATCACGATACTTAGCGTATATATTTAGTACTTGGATATATGGACTCACCTGTGGTGCCATGCCAATGTTCGCTGAGGTCAGACCCGCGCCCTGCTGCTCGTTGTAGGCGCCCAGCGATGCCAAATGCTCGAGCAGCTCCCGATTTTGCTGCAGCAGCTGCTGCGTGCGCGCCTAAAAGAGAGAGAGAGACGGGGAGGAGAAAGAGTTGGTTAGGTTCATTTTTAATGTGGTTAGTTGTATTTTGGGCACTCACCTGCGCCTCGATGCGCGCATTTGTCTCTGAGATGAGCTGCTCGCGTACCAGCATCAATTGTCCAAGTGCCTGACGCGTCTGCTGCGCCTGCGCCTCCAGCTGATCCTTCAGCTGGGTTATCTCAGTGCGCGGCGACGAGGGCGACACTGGCGATTTGTCATCCACATCGCACTGTTGGAATGAATTAGGCAAGTAGCAGAATATCAGTAAAGGGTATCATAAGGGTTAGCGAGCCTTGATAAATAAATCGAAATTATTCTATTCTTTGAAAATGTGTCTGATTTTATATATACATTTGATAGATCTTTTTATATATCTTTTATTAGCATGACTTTCTTAATCGATTTGGCAATGATATTTTTTATAATTAAAAATATTTATAGCCCATGAAAATATTTGTTTAAAAAATGTGGAGCAATTGTTTAACATTACAATTGTATTTATTTATAACAAATTTTTACAAAGTCATGCGCTTTGCATAAGCACAAAAATCGTTTAAAATAAAATCGGTTTTAATGTTACTTTCTTGTTTACACTTTTGTCTCGGTTAAGTAAACAAGAAATTCTTGTTGGGTTATTGAATTTATAGGAATGATCTAAACGAAATACTCTAATGGATTCTATTTTTTGCACATTTATGGCATTTTAATTTCCAATGGGCCATTATTTAACTTAATTTGCTGATAAGTATTTAATAATAAGTACACATGGGGCTAATTTTCCGGACTCAGACTTGGATATGGATATATACGCATAGAGAGAATGGGATATTTTACTTACCAGCAGGCTGGTCGATTTGCGTAGACTCGACTGCGTTGGCAACAGCTCCAAGTGGTTCGGTCGCTGCGGCTGCGTGTGGTTCAAATCGGGCGTTATGGCCAAGTGCTCTATAAATAATCAGAAACGGGTACAGATTTAGTGGCCAGCTGACAGCGGGCGCCGCATGTCGGCAAATGGAGCGTGTAAATTGACCGAGCAGCCCCAACCCCAAACCCAACCATTTGTCAAGGCCAGTGGACACTACGCACACACACACACTCACGCACACTCACACTCGCACACTCTGGCTGGCTGGCACACCTGCTGCTTCTTGGGCGGCTAGTGCTTAATTTCCACTTAATAACAGCAGCTTGATTTCAATCTTTGTTTTGATTATGTTGCGTACACAATAAATAATGATACAATTATCCATTCAGCCAGCATCCCTCTCCACCCCCACCCCCCTTCACAATGTTCAAGGGTCCTGCCAAGTTAGGTATTGTGTTTATTTTGTATTTTCTGTTTCGATTCGATATTTGATTTGTGTACAAAATATTTCAACAATTTCTTTGGCCAGAAAATTTGCAATTTTAATTGTGTGGTTTGTGTGTGTGCTTTATGTTTCTCTTAGTACTGCGCGTGTTAATGAAATAGTGGTCGGCGCCGAAAACGTGGCAAATCGTTAATCTCTTTAGGGAGATTGTATGAAATATTTAGGCAAGTTCGGTCTGGCTTCGCACCTGAGCACATGTTAATAACTGCGTACTGTTTCACTTGAACGAATCCAACAAATGCCTCACAGCATGTAAATTAATTTGGCGTATTTAATTGTTCATATAAAACTAATTTATACCCCCTTTCACAAAATGCCTCACTGAACTTTGGCTATTCTGAACAAGGACACGTACTAGGCTAAATCAAAATCAAGAATGAAAAAAAATGTATGCCTGCTATTTTTGGTCTTGTGATTCACAGATTTTACAATCAAAATGACCCATTTAGCAAACGGGCAAACAAAAATCCGTACATCTAATTGAATTATAAAGACTTTTGTCACCAGCTGCAAGTGAATAGTTCATTATTCTTCGAAACATCTTGGAATATCTCAGCTGTTCAGCTAGCTTAGGAACTGTAACCTGGCTACTGTATTGATAAGAAACTTTTCTTGAGTCAACTCTTAGCTTTTTACATCTTTAAATGATATCGTACTTCTTAAGCTACCCTTAAAGAGTACCCAGCATAGCCACTTTGTCTAGACGTTGGAATACATTCAACTTGCTTAACTGTGCTCCTATCATCATTGTCCAATCTCTCAACAAAGACACACAAAGGCAGCAGCTGTTGTGCACAAGAAGGCAGCTAAGATGAAATGCGAGTATATATATTATTTAAAGCAAACAGACGCGACCAAAGATATGAATATTAAAAAAAACAAAAAAAAAACAAATTACAAGACCATGAAGAGGAAGATGGCGAGCAGCCATATTTGTATCTGGTCAAATATATAAACAAAAGTAAATAAATTATTTTTGGCACACGACTCGAGCAAAAGACATGCCAAAACGCTAAATGCCCCACACTCCGCGTTACGCCCACACGCCAATACGCCCATACGCCCACACGCACAGACAGATACAGCTGCAGCTGTGGCAGCCACGTGATTTGTGCGTGTTGCAAGTAACCTGGCGACAACGTTTTGGTTTTGTATTACATGCCTGGTAACGGGGCCCCATTCCACAAATCCATCTCATAGCTACTTAAGATACCTGAGTGTATTTTATACCTATTTCCGAGAATTTTTTTTGTCAAGTTGTCGCTCAAAATATTGTTAAATATCAAAGAATGAAAATATTTCTTCCCCCTTTTTTTATGCTTTTGGCAACGTCGGCGAGTCGGTGACGTCAAGTGGCAAAGAAAAATGTGAAAAGCCGCTTTGGGTTGATTGAAAATTTCAGCAATACGTGGAAATTGCTTAACGACCAGCGGAGTGTCTGCTGCTTGTTAAACATTTCTATATTTTAGTAATTCTCACAGAAATTTCTTTTTGGTGCATATATATGAAATTGTTTTATTTCCCCATTGCCATTTGCTTTAATTGTTTATTAATTTTTATGAAACTCTTAAATGTGCCACATTTAAATGTCAACATTTCTCTCCCATTTCCTTGCCCATTCCATTTCACATTTTTTCTTTAAGCTCTTGCCTTGCGCTTGTAAAATGCAATTTAAATGCAAATTTTTGGCTCGTTTTTGATGCCGCATTGAAATGAATTCAAAATTAAACAGCACAAGAAATTTGCATCGAAATGCCAAACTGAATTGCAAAACTAATGCAGTCAGCTGTCCAGGGTGTTCAGAGTGCGGCCAGGGGCCGCCCACAAGTGGCCTGCGTCGCAGCTGATGGAAGCGATGGAAGCGCCCCAGGAAGCTGCCGGCGTTGCCGACAGCGCCAGCTTTTTATTTATTTATTGACCCACAGTCTGTACAACGTGCAACGACCCAGCGATTGCCTGGTGGGGTGCGTCGATCGGGGAGCTGGGGGGTCATCATACGGTTTATCTTTTGCGAAAATTGCATGTGGCATACACACACACACACACACACGCACACATACATACACAATTTCGCATTCACATTCACAATTACCTTTCTTTGGCGTCTCGCTAGTGAGGACGCCGCCATCGTCGCTGAGCTGCTGCTCGCTGATTTGCTCCACATCCAGCAGCTCCGACGATGAGACATCGGAGCGTTCGTCATTGGGCTCCAGGGAATTCTTATGAAGATTAAATTTGTGGCACACTTCAAAGGCTTGTCCGACGGTGCGCACAATGCGCATGGCCTGAGACTGTAAGACACAAAGGCAAACATAAAGCGATGAGCGAGGGGAACAACTGTGTGTGTGTATGTATAAGGGGTTAACAACAATTAATATTAAGCCGCACAGCGAGCAATTAAGGCAGCCAAGCAACCGGGCAGCCAGGCAGCCGGGCACTTCAAATGCCTGCATATGGCTGACAGCGGCAAAACAAAGCAAATTACGCATACGCCCCATGGTGCGGCGTACCCACCTCCGGATCGCTTGCGGCATGGCCGCAGGAAATTGCATCCTTTATGCGATTATTGCATAAACCATCACAGTCCAATCCATGCCCTAACTGTATCGTGCGCTCCAGCGGCGAGCTGCGTCGCCGCTGCCGCTCCTGCCGCTGTTCATTCAACACGGCCGCGGACATGGCAGCCATCACAGGCGACAGACCCGCCTCGATGGGCTCGCGAAAGGAGAGTTTCTTGCGCGGCTTATCCGTCTTGGGTCGCTCCAGCATGATGCCGCTCGCATTGCCCGCCGCCGCAGCCGGGCCACCGCTGCCGCCGCTGCTCAGGCTCGAGCTGCTCTGCTTGTCGTTATGCGTATCGCTGAGGCTTTTGCGGCGCTGCAGCACGTGTCGCTGCTCGGAGCGCTGATACAGCTGCTGAGCGCGACGCAGTGCCTCCGGCGAGGCCGCATAATGTTCGCTGGGCAAACGCTTGAACTTGAGCCGCGCCTTCAGCACATCCCCGCCATTGCAATGGCTGGCGGCGGCGTGTGTGGACGCCGCCTTGTGCGCCTTGGCCACCGGCTGCTCCTTCTTAATGAGATACACGGTGTTCTCGTCATCGTTGAAGAGTATGTGCCGCGGCTTGCTGTCAATGTAGGTGTCGTCCAGGAAGCGCTGTGGCTGCGGCTGCGAGACCAGGGCATTCGTTCGCGGCGCCAGCCCGCTTTCCACGCAGCCAATCAGCTCGCGTATGTCCAAGCTTTTGTTGCGGGAAAGCGTTTTCTGCTTGCGTTGCTCCTTCTTGGCCACCGACAGCGGCGATTGCGGTGGCTTATCCTTCTGCAGCTTGTCCTTGTCGCCGACGAGCATGTCGCGTATGAGTCCGCCGCCGCTGCGAAAGATGTTGCGATGATAGTGCACCTCGGCGGGCTTTTCACTGGCAGCCGCAGCACTCGGCTCCGGTTCCGGCTTGCTGCACACCGGCGCCTTGCTGCGACTGCGTGACCAGGGCAGAAAGTCAAAGGCCTTGGTAATGGGACTGCGTGGGACTCCGCCGGATTCCAGCAGCTGCTGTCGCTGCTTGTCCCGCCTCAGCGGGGGCGTACCATTGGCGGCCATGGCTGAACTCTTCTCGTGCTTCATGGCCGAACGTGCACGTTCACTGAACCTCTAAAGTTTTTCTTTAGCACAAGGTCCACTTGGCCAAAAAAAGAGAATGTGAAATGGCCACAACAAGTTGGCCAACAGCTTGTCAACACTTTGGCTCGACTTTTCGCACGACTTTTGTTTGTCTTTTCTCGCACTCGCGCACTTTTCGTACTTCTGCTGCTAGGTTCAATGCTGTTCAATATTTGTTTTCAATAATTATCGGCGCCAATTAAGAGACTATTAATTTCATAATTGTTTAGCTGCCGCTGGGCATTGACGGCTCCTTGGCCCAGGTTGTTCACACACATTGCCAAACGCAACATTTTTCGCACCTACAGTTCAAGTGTTTTTTTCTTTTTGCTTTTCTTTTCACCCTTCTTTTTTGCGTAGTTTTTTTTTGTTTTCTGTCTGTTTTTCCAATATATTGTTGCGTATACAATATATAGTATTTATATTGAATTATTTTCGTCGATTGCCCGCGGAGCACTCAATTGTGTTTGCCTATTTGTAGTTGGAAAATACTTTGTTATTTATTTTCAATTTTCTTCCTTTATTTTTTTTTTTTTTTTTGCAGTGTATATTTGCATGTGAGTGTATTTCGGCCAGCTGCGTTACGCCTGCATTCAGCTTGATTCGTTTTGTGCCCGCCAGACACCCAAAACTGTCAATCTTTTTGCGGTTTTGTTTTGGTTAATCGTTGTCAGGCATCAGAAATGCTAAAGTGAATTTGCATTTCTTGGAACAATCTGGTTTATGCTTGGGCTCGTGTTGTGCTAATGTGCTTGCTTGCAGTTTGACTGGCACGAAGACAACAGCTCGAAGGTCTACATTCAAAAATAGTCTCGATTACTAATCGATCTAATTGGTTTGCTGTGCATCTAGCATAGAAAACCTATTCTCAAGCTCTCCTCAGAGCAAGTTAAATGGCAACTATTCATCATATATTGCTACGAATTTGAGAGCTACATCTAACAATATTTGCTTGATAATGGCTAGCTTTTGCCATCAATCATTTCATTCGAAATTTCGCTAAAATGTATTTCAAAATTCGACTGTTGCCAAGAGTATGCCGTAAGTCCAACCACTCGTTATGTCCATGTCCATCATTTCGAATATTTTGACCAAAAATCGAGCACTTTGCAGGGCTACAACCGGCGCATTAGCCAGCAGAGACGACAAACAACTTTAACGAGACATTAACGAGACATCAATTTGAGTTATTTTGACAAGCGCAGACAGAATTAGTTTGCCGACGAATTACCAATTGCTGCGTACTTAAGAATCTGATTTATCTAGCATAGGGTATATAGATTGCAGCTTGATTATAATGTAAACCAACTGTTGAAATGATTTCAGCGCACACGGAATACTGTTCCTTTTTTTTTTGCCCTTAGCACACGCAAAACAAACATTGCGTATACGCTGTGTGTGCCGGCAAATTTGTGTAACGAAGTGGCAAAGGTGTCGATTGATTGTCTGGCCGTCTATCTCTCTGGCTGGCTGTCTGTCTATTTAACTACCTGTCCATTTGCTTGACTGCACACACAAGTCAATCCGTGCGCAATACGCTGACGCAACTGCTAATAAATCAAATCAAAAACTATATAGAACAAAATACAGGTGAATTTGTATTTGTTCTAAAGTGTTGGCATTGCTTGCAGCGGCGCTTAAAATGAAAACTAAAATAAATACAATTTGAATTGAGATTCGCTTTCGTGGAAATCTACTTGCAAATTTATGGCGCTAACAACGCTTTTTATGTATTTATTTGATTTTTAATATCCATTTTTCTTCTCTGCAAAGCCAACAAGCTGTGCGCTTATTTGTTTTCTTAGTCTTCTCCAAATGTTTGCTTTCCCGTCGTAAGGGAAATTTTTACAGCAAATCTTTGCAGCACGCCCCTTGCCCCCCGCATGGCACATGCAAAAGATACGCAGCTCGAGCTTTTTTTTAATGCGGCATCGTTTTTATTAACTTTTTTGCCTGCAAACGCATGAGTTTTATCGCCGGCAGGGCACAGCAGTTGCTGCATATACACGCTGGCCATAAGTCGCGGCAGTGACAGTGGCTGTGGCTGTGGCAGTCGCAGTGGCTGCCACAGCAACCACAAGCCGTTGCTGCCACAGCTGCCACTGTTGCCACAGCTGCAGCTGTTGCATGTTGGGTTTTGTTACATTTTGGGGTTATACATTTTGCACGTGGTTTACAACGGTTTCACTGATACTTTGGACTGTGTTGCTAATTAACTTTTCATTAGTCACACGGCAAAAGGCGCACTTACATTTTTATTCACTCTCTTCCCCACAAAATACACACGTTTCAAGTAGCCGGACGGCGCCCCCCGTTTGCTTTGTTGTTCGATTTTCGAAATACTTTAGAGCAGGCTATTAAAATAATGGATCTATTTTGGTTGAAATGCAACAACAGCAACAACCAAAAAGAAAACCAGAAGAAAATCAAGCAAAAATCAACGGAATAATTGAAAATTTCAACGATTGCGGCAGCCATTTATGGCCAAAAGCTACAACTCACAAATACAAAGGCAGCTACTTAATATATATTTAAATATATATATGTGTAAATGTGTATAGATTGGACCTTTTATCTAGTAAAAGTTTGCTGTGAGGTTTCTTTTTTAAATATTTATTAATTATAAATATTAATCCTATTTGAAAAAAATCCCCAAATTTTATTTGGATTTTCTGCTAGCTGGCAATTTACTTTTGGCTTTTGCTAAGCAGCTAAAAATTATAAATAAACGCAGAAATAACAAATATTTAATGCTATCACGTGTGCGCGTCTGATTGACCATCAAATTATTTATTTATTTATATTTACCACATACGCCCTCTACGCCCGACTACCTGTGGAGAGCTCAGCTCATTAACTGCTCTGGCGTGGGCAGTTGTAGATGGATGGAAATTGGAAGTGGAAATTGCTTTGAATATGAATAGAACAGCGGCATTTTTATGGCGCTGGCCAAGAACTAATATGCATAAACAAGGGAAAGTGCGTCAGTTGGCGTGCTTTATGTTGCTGTAGATGGCTAAACTTGTGTGCATGAACTTTTAGCACACACTATTGACTTTTGTGTTATACGTTACCATAGATTTCTAATGCTATACTATATTCCTTTTAATGTATTCCTTACGGCACGTTTCAAGACTTTTGTTTGCAATTCATTTTCCAGCGCTTTGACAATTTTCATTTGGATTTTCGGTTTTAGCCCCCCGAGAGAAATGTGTCTTTTGTTGTTGTCGCTGTTCCTGAGCTGATTGGCCCGACTGTTTGTAGCTACTTTTGATGGCGTCAGCGGGCCGCCCATGACAAACACTTTTGTGTCTTGACGATTTTCCTCTTATTATTTTCTTTTAGTTGTTGCCTGTTTGCCTGTTGCCTGTTGATCTATGGTCTGCTTAACGCTTGTGACACGCCATTGCCTGAATTTATTTAATTAATTCTTGTGACATATTCGTATATTTATAAATATAATATGTTTCACTAGTTGCCGTTTTCGCAGCTGGCAGAAATTTATATTTTTAATAATTGATTTTTCTCATTTGTTTTACTAACGATTGTTTTTTAGTATTTGTTACACTTCGCTGCACTGCACTGCTCGCACACACACACACACACTCAGACACACATGCATATTGCATAATTAAACATTTTCGATTTTGTTCTGATTGCTTTTTGCATACAACGCACGTCTATTACGGCGCACCGTCGAGTGGGGACTGGACAAAGCCTCAGCGAACCGAGCGAGATCGCAGATCTGTAGCCGGCTAGCGGAGCTTTTTATTTCGTTTTTTCCTTTTTTTTTCGATTTTGTATTTGTTTTTTTTTTTTTTGGCAAAAAGCAAAAGCTTTCGCCGCACTCAGCTGTTAACACGGCCGTTTGTTTTTGGGCCGCTGGCAGCAACACGCTGCGTTTGTTTTGCTCTTCGTCGGCGGCCCGCTGCTCGGCGGGACAACATGGCGTATGCGCGTTTTGCGCTTAACGCTTAGCGCTTGCAACTTACGTGCTGCTGGCGCTGGCGGCGTTCGTGTGACGTCACTGCTTTGTGTTTCGCGGAAGTAAACAAAGGCAACTTTTCACAGCATTATAATTATTTTTCTTTTTTCTTTTTCTTTTGCTTGTGCTCCGCTGGCACGTATAATTTTTCATGCTGATTTGCTGGCTTTTCTTTTAGCTGGCAGCTTACGGCTGCTTAGCCATAAATCAAGCGCTTTCATCACTTTGTCTGCTGTTTATTTTGATGATCCTGATCCATAATACAAAGTGCAATTGCGCTGCAGCTTGTGCTATTCCTGTATTGTTTATTGTCTTTGCCGCAGTTAGATCGCCCGCCCGCCTGGCTGCCTGACGCACGCAGCGTATGCGCAATGTACAACACGTGCCACGTACGTTGTGTGGTACGAGCTCTGCCCTGCCACCGACCTGGCCTTAATTTAATGTGTCACTTGTCAGGCATTTCGACAGGCTGTGTGTCGGAAATTTTTTAGCCCGAAATGCTTTGTTAATTGGAAAACTGTGTCGAAAATAGAAATGCCAGCAACCCGGCGCAGACTTGACATTGCCTGAAGCTAAAGTTAAAGGCCAAACGGGCCTGCGAGGCACACGCAACACTTGCCACAGAAAATATCATGAAATCTTCAACTGGCTGTTAAATGGACTGCAAGTGACCGCAGACCACAAACGAAATCAAAGTAAATGCAATTTTGCGGCAACTACAAAGTGAAAGCAATCTATTTATTTGCCAAATCGCGGTCAGAGCTCGATGGGGCGCCGTCAGTGGGGTTGCCGCAATGCTGGCCACGATTTTATTTGTCAGTCAGTCGGTCGGGACAGTCAGACACTGGCCCCAACACGGAAATATAGCGCCACGAATGGCGGCCAGTCTGATGGACAGTTGCGTCTTACACTTGCTTAGATCATTTCAAATTTAATGCTAAGTAATATAATGTTCGGACACTGATGAATGATAATGGCTTCATGTTGTCATTACCAATTCTAGACTGACTTGATCAAATGGTTGTCTATAGGCACGAGGGAACGAGTGTCATTGCGAAATAAATGACAACTTTTCCATATTTGTATAAGAAAGTTTTCTGTTTAAGCAACAGCTTATTCAAATTACTTTGATCACATAATTTCAAATTCTTTAACCCCAATCTTATGTGCCACATGGAGACCGCTGGCTCCTGTGCAAATCGCACTTATGTATTTGTTTATTTGCCGCTTGTTTGCGTTTCAGGTTTTACCCAGCGCCACCCCCTCGACGCGACGAGACGTCGCTGGAAGCCAGCCAAACTTGTGCATATGAGAACACATTTGGCAAAAACAGGACAGCCAAAATGTCATGTACAAATGTGTTTAAATTTAGAACACACACAGACAAGGGGGCGGGGGCGGGGCAGTGGCAGTGGCAGCGGCAGAGGTTGGTGTAGTAAGTAAGTCACATAGCGCACACGGCGGTTATTAAATT